AGCTATTTAATGATATTTTCTGTTGTAGACATTATTGCAATGAATGGATTTGATGTGAAGACCTTAGTGACCCTTTTGGGAATCTTCTCGCACTTCATTTTTTCTGATGTATTTTTTTCACCTGTTGTTGCAGATATTCCTAGCAATGAATTAAAATAAATATCTCATCACAAATGTCTGCAGATCCTCTGGATGTATTTCTGATGGCTGACTGCACAAATGTTTTATTTTTCAATCTGTTTAACATGAACTTGTTTGTCCTGCTTCCTGGCATTGGAGAAACACTTTGAATTCCGACTGCTGAAATAAAAATCACTGCTATTGTTTAAAAAATGCAAAAATGTATCATTTATTCAAATGGAAGATTTGTAAATCATTGAATTTCATGGGAGACAAATCATTAGTCAAAGTGCAGACTGCACTAGAGGTTATATTTAATTTATTTTCAAAGCCTTCATTCGTGCTTTTTAGTCCAGTATGTCATAAGTTATTCAATGCATAAAGGTGTCTACTTATGTCTCACAATAATTAAGCTGATTAAGTCATATTATCACTAACAAGAAGCATTAATTCCACTTGAGTGAATGCTGCAAACAGACTCAGTGACTTTTCCACCACTTAGTTTGAAAACACATTATAGGCAAACTGGGGAGGCAAAAGCCTCGCTTAGCCCAGGCCTGTTTCTTCATCTGGTCTCTGCGGAGGAGTTAGCAACTGATGTTTTCAGAGCAGAAAAAAAAAAAAAAAGGTGAAAAGGAGCAGAGAAAATCAGCACGTGACAATCATGCAGACCATTTTTCAGTGTGGTAGAGGCTAAATTATTATGGCAAAAGCTAAAGGATGTTTATTTCTACAAAACATCTACTGAGATCAAAAAGGAAGCAAGAGGAGGAGCTCCAGCCAAGAACAGCGATCTGTTCTGCAGGATGAGTCCAGGGAGATATTTAAGACACTGAGGCAATGTGAACAGGAATCAGGATGGACATTGACCCAGTCCTGGCTAAATTAAGCCATTAAGTTCATTCCTGCATCATCTTCAAGCGAGAAGAAAAGAAAACAAAGTCCTAGTATCTTTGGAGACTGTAATTAACCACCGAGTGCCACAGACGTCAGGCTGGATCCAGAACCCTTCAAGGTCAATGTGCAGGCTCCCACTGGTCCCCATGAATTTTAGCTCTCTCCTACAGATACCAGTCCCTCGGGGGATCTAAGATTGTCTGTATTCATGGCTCTACGCAGCCTAACCTGACTGCATGCAGAGTGCTGTGTCCCTGCTAAGGTTTCTTCGGGGCTTCACTGGCTGCTGTTGGACTCCACATGTGGCGGGTCGGAGTAGAGCTGAGTACCAGCCCCCTCTGGGTCCTTTCTCTCTGGCCTCTTTTCTCTCTACCTCTGGTTTCATTTTGTCTCTCTGGTACACACTTTCAAGTCATTACAGAGATATAAATTACGTTTCCATCCAAAGAGTCTATTCAGCAACAGCAAGAGCACAAAAACCTTCCCTATTTGTGCTGGTGCCCAGAAGCACTATGTGCCTGCCTCGCATGGCCTGCAGCATCTTGCAGCCAACTGCACCACATGGCAGCTTTCCCGCTGTTGTAGAAGCAAATCTCAAGCTGGCTGGCAGGTCCCTGAAAGCCAAACTTGCCTCTGGATCTCAGAGAGCTGGAATGTATGAGAGGGGCATATAGAGAGCATGCCGTTGAGTATGTCTCCAAAGTGGCTCTCATGCCTAGTGCATTACCAGAATACAGAAACCAGCTAATGCTCATGAACTGTGCAGGAGAGTAAGCACGGGAAGAGTTGTAAAAATAACTGGTTATAGGGCAAAGACCTTGCATTTTTAATGACACCCTGTCCCTGTGGGAAATCTTCAGAGGAGATCTCATCTATTAGATGGACGATTCTGACCAGGCAAGCCCTTTGAAGAAGGGATAGTAGTGTGGTTGAATTGGGTTTAAGCAAATGACCTCTCCCTTAAAGCAAGTCTCTTTTTATTGTCCTTCTTATTGACATGTTGATTGAGAAGAGAGATGGAAACTGAGCTCTTGTCAGTACAGGACTTCCTTCAACTAAGCAAAAAGAGATCCTCAGGGAATGTGAGAGGGGGTGTTGGGGCCCGGGCAGGGTGCTGTGTTGACCCTCAAATCCCTTTTGGAAGAGGTCTGACCTGAGCATGCAAACCTGGGAATCAGCAAGGGGTGCAGGGGTGTATATGTGTGTATCTATCTCATCTCCTGGGCTGAGGACGTCCAGGAGTAATGGAGACGAGAGGGAGGCAATTTACTCTAGGTTGGTTGAGCCTTAGTTGTAGGAGTTAAAAAATGCCAACAGAATACACTGGAGAGTGACGCACTCAGTAAGGTGGCAAAAGCTGGCCTCTTGGTTGCTCATCTCCATGAATTTCCAAAGACAGGGAAGCAAATATGGTTTTGGGAATCAATTTTGAGACCTACCTTTGGGAAGAAACACCTTGGAATCTGAAACAAAATGCCAACTCCACACATTCATTTAGATCCTGGATACCATGAAGCGTGTGTACAGGGTACTTTTGCTGTGTGAGCTAAAACACAGCTAACGGCTTGGCCCTGCTGCAGAGGGGCTACAGTCCTCTCCTGATGCCTGACCAGCACCGCCTGAAGATGGCAGGGAAGATATTGCCAGAGCTAATCCGGGAGAGGGAGATGCTCGCTGCCCCCACGGGGAGTCAAGTCCATTTGATGCTTTTATTACTTCTTGAGATGTTATTAATTTTATTGTATCACTTTACATAATTCACTTGCTCTTTTGAAGCAGTGAAACAGGCTAATGCTCTACAGGGGTCTCAGGCAGTGGCGATTTGGAGTTCTTTTTTTACCCTTAACACTCTGCAGAGACCATTGAAGAATGCAGTCAGCAGCATAAAATCCTTTGTCCTACCGTCTAATTGGGACAGGGAGTATTTCATCTACTGACAGGCAGATGTGAGCTGGGACTGAAGTCACCAGAAGCAGCCAGGTCCCTTTCATGTCCAAAGTGCAGTCCTCCTGGGTCCCTGACTCCCATGGGGCTCTTTTGAGTGTTCCCTGCCCCTCGCTTCCACCAAAGAGCATGTTACCTATTTGTAGACAAGGACTTTTCTGGGTTAATCCCAAAAGCCGCACTGCAGCCTCCCCAAGCCAGTCACTGAGCAAGCAGAGGCTAAAAGGCAGTCACGGCATGGCCATCTCAGGACTTCATCTAAAGGTGAATGACTTCCCACATCAAGAGTCACCCCACCAGCAGATACAGGCTTGCCTGTATCTTCCCAGGCAGTTGGTCCCTACACCTGGCACACACCCAGGTTATCTCTGCGACTCCTGAGGCAAGCTGGTGGGTGGCCGAGCATCTAGGGGAAAGCTTAAATGAACCATAGAAAACAATGCTCAATAACCACAAAAGTCACTACTACCAGATCCAACCCCTCTCCCCAGCGGTTCAAAGACCTTTACGCCCACCCCTTGGTGCAAAGCCCTGCAGAGTCTCTGCCCAAGCTGGAGCATGGAGCAGGGAGCTGTGTGGCATCTCCAGCACACAGCTCCTCCTGGCCATGATCCCAAAGTGCTCAAGAGTCCAGGGAGGGAGAGAGAGGAACTTTGATCCCCCAGCATCCAGGTGAAATGAATAAAATGAGCTCTCCTGAGCTCCTCCCAGCAGCTAAGGAGGCCAGAGGAACATGTATGTCTGCTGGAGCTGAGAGCCCTCCTCCAAGAGCTGAGCAGTGATTCCTGTTGTCATGTGCAGCTCAGGGACAGCCAGGAGCCTGGGTGAGCTATTAAAATACAATTTATTGGTACAAATCAGACATCATGAAACAAACTTGGTTTAGAAAGAGCTGTCATGTTCTGCACAGATGGATTGGAAATGAACTGTCCTGTGACAGGAGCAATTGGCAATGCTGGCAGACAGACTGGGTGGACAGGTGTAGGGTGAGCAGGGCAGAGGAGAGAGCGTTCTGGAGCTGGAGTCCTGCCCTTGAGAGCTCCTGACAGCCAGCTAAAAGTCCTCAAAGAGAAGCAGGGTGCAGTGGGAGATGCCTGTCCTGTGCAGGTGGGGCCCTCAGTGCAGGGGTTCCTCCAGGCATTCAGGACTTGGGGAAAACAGAGATCCAGGTGAGGGAAGGGGGAAAAGGGAGGAGGACCGTCACCTGTGCTGCAGCCCCTCCAATGGCTGGAAACTCTTTGAGATGATGTTGCCTTGGGCTAGAGAGTTACCCAGCATGGCGTCCCCTTGTGCATCTCTCAGCTGCTTAAGCTAACAGATCTTCTGGCCATCCAATCTGTGTGTGCTCCAGCCCATACTGCTCCAGGAGCAAAGATTGGCTGTGTCCTAGACCGCGGCCATGTCCTGGACTTTGGGTCAAAAACCCTGCAAGCGTTGGGTCAGGGTTTGAAGGGAAGCACCCATAATGGCTGGGCTCTGCACTCACTTCCCAGAGAAGCCAGACACCATTGGCTGCTCTGGATGTGCAACACATCCCACTGGACCTCAGGGACAGAGCAATGGTCACTGCCCCAGCATGTAGGGTCAGGCTTGACTAAACCAGGCTTGGTCTGCGTATGTTTTCCATGCCTACTGGGACAGAAATACAGGCATGCAGCTCAGTACATTCACACAGCCAGACAAGACAAAGTGACGTTTACAGAGATGGACGGTCCCTAAGGGGACATGGGAATGGGTAAACTCAAGGCAGATTTGCTTAAATCTGGTCATATGGATCCCAAACAGCACCTGCTGCCAACACAGCTCTGCAGGATGAGGTGGGAGAAATGCCTCCCCCCCCCCCCCAATCCTTATCACTTCTTAGTCTCTTGTTCCTTAAATCCTTTCCCCATGCCCTGGTGGGCCACTATCTCAGCAGCCCCAGAAAGTCCTGAGTGGTCCATACATGGAGCTGTGTGCTGTGGGTGGATCTAGCAGCTGAAATAATGCGAGTGATTCCCAAGGCTTTGGGTAGAACCATCCAGGCCCAGCACTGGTCACTATTTCAGGTCATTGTTGATGACCACACTATCATGCATGTCACAGTAAGTTGTCATCTTCTTTCTCTTGCCAAAGGTGGAGAAGCTGTTCTTGTTCTCCCGGCCCAGGAAGAGGGGCCCATCTTTGCTGGAAAGCAGAGTGGGGGTGCCGGGGATGTAGACATTGTGCTGATAATCCAGAGCTGGGATGTGCCCCGGGTACAAGGGGCTGTACTGGGGTGTCCAGATGCTGTTGGTGCCTGCCGAAGCCTTCTGAAACTCTGGAGGAAAGATGAGTGTGAGACTGGCTCGGGGTGGAGGTGTCACATCCATAGCTCAGTGGGACAGTCACATCCATGTCCCAGGGTGTAAGCCCATGGCCATGTGTCACCAACTTCCCTTCTGGAGCCTGGACAACCATTCCACCCCACAAAACTATACCACTACTAGAAACAGGGATGTGTCCCCCCACTGCATCTTCACCAAGTAACAAGAGGGTCTGGTCTTCCCAGACTCAGTGCCCCAATACTAACCAGAGACAGGTGTCACCAGGGTGCACAGCCTCTCGTGCTCCTTCTGGAGGGCTCTGCGGATTTCCCCCACATCCTCCAGGCTCTGAGAACTAAAGAGACAAGACCAATTCAAAGCTATGTTGGAGATAACCACTCCATCCCCACATTCCCCTTCCACTGGATTTGGTACCTCTTCAGCACAGGTCGCTGCATGCTTGGAGGCGGACAGTCCATGTTGGGCTGCTTGATCTGGAAAACACAGGGAAGGGTAAGGCTGGTTATCGGGACCCTCTGTACATCAGCCCAGCCCTGCCAGCACCATGCTTCGGTAGCTAGGGATACAGGACTCCATGTCCTCTTTCCCCATGCCCTTTGTGGAGAAGCAAGCACCACATTCCCATCTTAGGGAAACTGAGGCAGCGCTGAACAAGCCTGTTCCCTTCTGGACTGTCCCCACTTTCCTGAGACATTGGAGGTGTCTGGGGCTTGCTCTCCGTCTCTGGGAGTTTAATCGCCAAGGTCTGTCCTTCTGGGGAGAGAGAGGGGCTTTTCCTATTTCTGTTAATTTTAAAAAACCTTTTTTTGCAGGTGGGATGTTAACTTAGCCCTGGTCTCTGGGACCAAAGGGTGAGAGGTGCACCCAATGTCCCAGGGGGGTTGCAAACAACTAGGGCAAAATCCCATTAATGTATTAAACAGTGAGTCCAGTTGTGCAGGAGACGTGCAGCGAGAGCCGGTTGGCAGCGAGTCTTGGGCTCTCCTTGGAAGGGCTTTTTTATTAAAAGTCAAATGTAAGTGGATTAGACGCCTCATCACTCTCCATCCTTGTAATCGTGTTTTGGAAAGAGTCTTTTATCGGGAAAATTAGATGTTCCTCATTTCAATACCTAACAAATGTTGACATCAAAATCCCGCCCTGAAGAGCCCACTCCCTCCCCGCCGGCGCAGCGGCCAGCCCTGAGTGCCAGAACTGGGGACACAAGCGGTGCTGGCGGGGCTAGGGCCAGCCCCGGGTGCAGCAGCGGGACACTGCAGACCCAGCTGGCATGAGGGAAGCAGAGCAGCCGTGATGCTCAGGCTGTCTCAGCGTGAATTGCTCACCCACACAAAGGAGATGCCACCCCCACCAATCCTACCTCCCCCGGGGCATCTCTGTTGCCTCTAATGGGTGCAAAAGGCAGTGGGAAGGGATTTCCTCTTGCCTCAGCCCAGCCTGCCGTCCCCCAGTAATTAGACCCATTGGGAAGCTCGACAGAGAGTTTCCCGCTGCCTGACGGCTCCTAGTTCCCGCACTGATCAAAGGCACCGTTTTTTTCTCTGGGAAAAGCCGTGCCTGGTTTCTCTCATGGCAGAGGTTGAGGGAGGGGGCGGGGGGACCTGTGGGGCACCAGTAAGCACCACCAGGCATGTCATTACCTGCTTGGAGACCTGGAGATGCTGGCCTGGCCGAGACTGTTTCCCAGGGTCCTTCTCATTGTTCCGGGGTGGGCTGCAGGGTTTGAGGAACATGAAGTCACTCTGGGCAGACTCAGGACCAAGACAGACCTTGTAGCAGTAGCCTGGGGGGCCACCCCCAGGCACGTCGAGGCAAGTGGCAGGCAACGTTCTCGCAGGGGGCGGCGG